ATTTTTGGCCCATTAAGCCGAAAATTTACAACTTAGGCATATTTTTGATAAAATTGACACTTTAGGTCCCTTAAGACCAAAAGTTTACATTTATGGGTTTATTTCAAATAAAATGACATTTTTAGCCCACTATTGTTAAAAATATCATTTTCGACCCAATATCATGAAAATTGACATTTTCGGCCCAATTATATAAAAACTGACATTTTCGGCCTAATTATATAAAAATTGACATTTTCGGCCCAATTTAATAAAATTGGTATTTTCAGCCCTTTTTGACCGAAAAACAACATCTTTGGCTCAAATTTGTTTAAAATGACAATTTAATCCACAAAAGTCATAATTTTTCCAATGTTGGCCCATAAAACCGTGAAGGCCCAATTTAAGCCTATTTTTTGAAAAATTTACTCTTTTGGCCCTTTTTAAAACCATAATAACATAAAGACCCGTTTTTATAAGATTTACTCTTTTGGCCCTTTTTAAAACCATCATAAAAGCTTCATCTTTTTGTTCATTTGTCAAAAATGGTCCCTTTACAAGATTTTGTTTAGTTTTTCAACATCCTTAACATGTTTAACCCTTTCATCTTTATGGTAAGTTGCATAAAGTGTTTTAGTTTACAAATATTGTCAATATTTGATAGAGTTTTCGAGATTTATGAAGTTTCTTCACATAATCACAACATATAACTTAGAAAACACACATAAACATGCACAATACATAGATCTAACACAAAGCAACTTGTATCCTCCCCCAAAACATAGTGAAAACCGAAAACAAGGGGGTATGAACTCACCTTGGGTTGTTGTTCTCGGTTTGATGAAGAGTTCGAAGAAGATTTTCGGCCCTAGGAGTTTCCTTCAGGAGGTTTTCGAAACCTATGAAGTTCAAGAGTATAGATCATGAAATGATGTGGGTTAAGAAGATATTTTTGATGTAATCTTGAAGTTAAACCATAGGTTTAGGCAAGGACTTACCAAGAGTGATGAACTTGATTAAAAACCTCTTGTAAACACACACCAAAGTCACGAAAATGACAAGGGAAATGAGGGAATTTTCCTTGAGCTTGAGAGAAATTATGAAAGAGTTTGAAAGTGAAAATGTATGTGTTTGTTGGTGCTCTCGACCGAGAATTAAGAAGAGATGGGAGGGAGTTGATTTTGGTTATTACATGATGGATTAAGAAATCCTAGCCTAGATTACCACTAAACAAAAATTAGGTGTCAAGCTTGTAATTTACTTGATTTCTTCATTTTTTTTTTAGAAAGGAAAAGTTTTGGGCCCTACTTGCTTGATTTCGAAATCATGAGGCCCAAATGGATGGTTTCTCGGCCCATTGGGCCCTTATGAGGTTTCACGGCCCAATAGGATAAAAGGAATGGAGTTTATGGCCCATTAGGGCTAATGAAATCATTTATGGCCCAACATGGCCCAAAATGTTTTAGTTTAATGAATGTGGGTTCAATTAGAGCCCAATTAGGGTTCCTTGGCCCAAAATAGTCAAATTGAAAGTTTATTGGTCCATTAGGCCCAATAAGAGGATCCTAGTCCATATTAACTTGAATCGGGATTTCTAGGGTTTTAATTTCTAAGTGAAAGTAACACTAAAACCATTAAAAGCACCAAAATGAAGGTAGTGCAAAAGGTAATTTAATTTCTAACCATTTTGGTTGTGGTGACTTAGTAAGACATATAGAAGATATGGTGGATAAACTATTGACCCTTGTTCAAATCCTGACATTACTCAGCCTCTGTAGTCATGGAGGCAATGTTTTAAAACCCGGGTTTTTAGTTGACCCGGTGTGATGACTGGTTCACGGGTCAACCGGTTCAACCGGTTTAACCGTCGGGTCAACCCGGTTTATGGTTTTTTAAGCCTTTCATCATGTTCTTAGTTTATCTGATTAGTGTATGCCCTATTTTATTTGAACTTCATAATTATACCAATTGGTTTCCAGAATTAGGCTATAAATGCAAACAACAATGGCTATATGCAGTTAAGTTGGTGTTCTTCAACCATCATTCTGTTAGTTCTATTGTGCATCATACGAGCTTAAAAAGATGTAATTGATGGTTTTGGGTGCCTAATTCAGTAAAAGCTTCTTTGTGGTACTTGTACTTGTTGATTGACATTGGAATAGAAGGCCACACCATGATTCCTGAATGGTTCTGGTAGGATCTATTGCTCTAGTCAATTGGGAGAAGAAAAGAAAACAGGTTTCAAAAAGATGAAATCGGTAGGAGAAGTTGTTTTGCAGGAGAAAGATGAAACAGGAAACTCACATTCGATAGAACCGAAGAACCGAAGTTGTTGGAGAAGAACCAATGTCGCTGCTCGGCTGCTGATGTCGTTGTTTTGCAGTCGCTTCTTCACCTGGAGAAGAATCGAAGTTGTTTTGCCTGGAGCGACGCTACTCACTTAACTATCCAAGCCCTAATAAACGAGTCAATCCGGGTTTTACCGGTTCGAAATACATGGTTCAACCGCAGTTTAGGGTAAACCTGGCCGGTCCATATTTTTACAAAAACTCGTTCTCAATTGACCCGTCTTCTACCCCGGGTCACGGTCCAACCGGTTGAACCGACCGGGTCGACCCGAGTTTTAAAACAATGCATGGAGGTTCGTCTGCTGCAGTTACTTCAGGTGGCATGAACATAACCTCATGTTCACAGCATGGGATTAGACGGTACACGAAAGCTGACCCGAAAACTTTTGTTAGGAAAGTTTCCATTTCAAAAAAATATTAATTTTTAAAATTTTGTTAAAGTCGGATTGTGTGAAAAAGGAGAAAGAGGAGTAAAGGAATTAGTCGAACTATCATAAAATGTAAAGCTACAATGATCCCAAGATTATATTCTTTTCCACCACTCTTATTACATTACAAATTACAAACTATAATATAATGCCAATGACCCATTGAAAAATATAGTTTTACGACAAAACTGCAAAAATGGTCCCTGTGGTTTCTCATTTTATGTGGCTACGGTCCAAACGTTTGAAAAGTTGCAGATTTGGTCCTTTTCAACAAGTTTTGTTGTGGTTTTAGTCCCTCACCCGTTAACTTCCTTAAAATGACAATTTTAACCCCAGGGACCATTTTCGCAGTTTTGTCTTTTACTATACTATAAGGACCATTTTTGCATACATTCTTTTTTATTTTAATGTAGTATTATATATTAATAGATATTATTTTTAATATATAATATTATATATTAATAAATATTTTTTATTGGATTATTAATTTTTTTTAGTTGATTTTTTTTAAAAAAATTTGTTGGTGTAATTCTTTTTTATTGAATTATTATATATCAATACATATAGTTTTTAATATATAATATTTATATCATAATAAATATTATATTATTGGATTATCAATTTTTTTAGTTAATTTTTGTAATTTTTAATTATTTTTTATTGTATTATTACTTTTAATTTATTATTTTCCTCATATACTATATGTAGTTTTATTGTATTATTAATTTATTTTAGTTAATTATATATTTTTAATTTTTTTGGCGAAGTAATTCTTTTTTATTGAATTATTATATATCAGTACATATAGTTTTTAATATATAATATTTATATCATAATAAATATTATATTATGAGATTATTATATATTACAAAATATTATTTTATTAGATTATTAATTTCTTTTAGTTGATTTTTTTTATAATTTCTTTTTTGTTGGAGCAATTTTTTTATTAGATTATTATATATCAACAAATATTATTTTTAATATATAATATTTACATCATAATAAATAATACATTATTGGATTATTAATTTTTGTAATTTGTTTTTTTGAATTATTAATTTGTTGAAATATTAATTTTAATATATTATTTTTTTTAATATAATAAATATTGTCTTATTGGATTATTATTTTATTTTTAATGTATACTATTAATTGTTTTTAATTTTATTAGTGTCACCACAAAGTCGTCGAAATACGTAAAAGTGTCGCTTATCATCGTCAAAAATTGACAGGATCACCTCTAAACACCTTCATTGGAGGTTCAATAGATACCCTACTCTATTCCACCTAGCGTTGCTGGTAGGCACCTGCGACAACCTCTTCATAATCCACTGGAATCCTTCATATCCCACATAATGCGCAACAAACCCCTATAACATTTATAAGTGGTGGTGGTGACAGAGTGATGGTGATGGTATTTTCCCTATGGTTTCTCATTATAAGCTAGATGAAATGAAAGTGTTTGGCAGCAATCCTAACGATTTCGATGATGAGAGACGACGATTTTGCGTATCCCATGACTTTGTGGTGGAACCAATAAAATTAACAAGAACTATTATTATAATTAAAAATAAATTAATAATCAAATAAAATAATATTTAGTATATGAAGAAAATAATAAATTAAAAGTAATAATCCAATAAAAAATAGTTTAAAAAAAAGAAATTACAAAAAATAACTAAAAGATAATAATAATCCAATAATATAATATTTATTATGATATAAATATTATATATTAAAAACTATATTTATTGATATATAATAATTCAATAAAAAATAATTACTTCGACAATTGTTTTTTTTTTAAAAGAATTAACTAAAATAAATTAATAATCCAATAAATGGTCCTTATGGTCCTTATGGTAGGGTAAAAGACAAAACTGCGAAAATGGTCCCTGAGGATAAAATTATCATTTTAAAAAAGTTAACAACCAACCAGTTAAACTTAACGGGACCAAAACCACAATAAAACTTATGGAAAATGATCAAATCTGTAACTTTTGAAACGTTTGAACCATAACCACCTAAAATAAGAAACAAGAACATTTTTGCAATTTTGTCTTGTTTTACACATAATTTGAGCACAAGTAAGCGCACATAGCACAAAATAAGCGTGGCACCACGTGTACAACCTTATCCATTCCACTCACCGTCCTTATTATCCACTTTTTCACTCTTCCCCATCGACATCTCCATCTCCATCTCCATCTCCGCCTTCGTTTTCTTCGTTTTGTCCTCATCAATGGCGACGCCTCTCCCAACTTGTTTCCATCCCATCACCACGGTCTCATCCGCTAACCGGATTACCAGGATCAAGCCAACGGCGGCATCAGCCTCCGGCAAGTGGTGGACCCCGCTCTTCGGCATGCCGTCCGATCCAGACTACATTCACAATCCGGAAACTGCTACCGGCGGATCGGTAACTGGAAGCTCCGATCCGGACAACGGTAGATCACGATTTGCTCCTGGGTGCTTCACGGAGGAAAAAGCAAAACAACTGCGGATGAAGACCAGTGAAATGGCTAATTTCCATGACATCATGTACCACTCCGCGATCGCGTCTCGCCTTGCGTCGGATGTCTCCGGCCGTCAAGACGGCTGACGTCGCCGCGCGCTTGTTTAGGCGATGATGTCGCCGGAAGATCAGCACACGGTTAGTGCTTGCTGCATCTAGCAATTTGTCGACTTCAATAATCAATTAGTATTTAGTAATAGCACGATAGATCTTGAACATCTTAGCATCTACAATACTCTGATCAAATCAGTTGATTTCATCTCGTTGCTGTGTAATTTTGCACAATTCCGTTTCAGTTTATCAATGATTTGTAATTTAGTACCACTAGACATCATAACTCATTATCAGATTTCTTTTAACAGATCCCAAAATTCCTCATTGAATACTCCATTGTTATTTTGATGCATCGATGATAATAGATCCAGGAGTTTGATCACTTATAATCTAATTATCACAAAAAATTATCATCGATTTCTTCTTTTTAACAAAAAGACACCATTACTAATAAGGTATCGCATAAACAACCATCATTGGCGTCTTTTTGATCAACTTGCCGCTTCAATTATTGCAATTCAAATTGTATTGACAATTGACATCGAGGCAAATTGTAATGTTGCCATTTTTGCAGTGCCCATGAAATATGGAGATAATTTTATCCGCAAAAAAGAGCTGTACATGATTTGTTTTTGTCATTTTATCCGAAATAACAATATATTTAAATTAATCGATGTATTGTGTCATAATTTGATTGGTAAAACAATTGTGATAACCATATTTTAGCAAGAAAAAAGGTCTTAAAATAGATGAATTATTAGAATAAGTCATTATATACTACATGTTACAAAGACAAATTAATTTTATTAAAAAAAAATACCTGTGAGAAGCTTCATTCGAATTCGAAGGATTAATTCCAACCAAAAAAAAAAAAACACAAAGTGACCAATTGACCCGATTGTCTAAAATGGTACTAGAATACATGTAACAAGGCAACCACATGAACATCTGTTTCTCTTGATCTATAAACAACAGTTTCCTTGGTTTAAAGTTTAAAAACAATAAAATTGCTTCTCTTAGTGTATAGAGAGTAGCTAGAGACACAAATAATATGGTTTACATGCTAAACGTCTTACTTTTCCCTCTAATATATAATGTAAACTTAGAGTATGCCATTTTTTACATACACGAAACTTAAACATTATGTAAACTAATGACATATGTATCATTTGACGAAATAAGTTTATTGGCGTTTACCTCTGGTATACAATACATATACATACATGGAAGTGAAGATGTAGTAGATCAGTTGACCACATCAAGCACAAGCTTACGAGACTTGAGAACCGACCATTTCAATCGCCTGTAGTATCCAGCTTGCAGAAGTGCAAGCGACAACACAAATATCCACTTAAATCCCATCTGCATTAATTATCAACAAAACCAAATCATCAACACATCTACTTTATTTCTTAGACTTCAAGTAATTCAATATGTATACCAGTTTTCTTTCTTCCATCTCAGGCTCAGCAGCCCATGCTAAAAAGCTGACAACATCTTTTCCCATCTGAGCCTCGGTGGCAGGTGTTGCATCTTCATATTCAACAGCACCATCGTTAAGCATTTTTGGCATAGCAATAGCTCCACCAGGAAAATAAGGATTATAATACAATCCCTCTCTCATCTAAATTCACCAACAACAAATTAAACATTATCCCAAAAAAAAAAAAATCACACAAAAGAATTTACCGAAACACCCGCAGGAGGATCACGGTAGCCTGTAAGAAGCGCAAACACATAGTTCTGACCATTATGACGAGCCTGCAACAATCAAAATACAAATACTTGGTTACCCATTATTTATGACATTATTAAAATGATAAAGTTACTTTGGTGATGAGACTTAGATCTGGGGGGTAGGCGCCTCCATTAGCAAACCTAGCTGCTTGTTCATTTGCATAAGGCTGAGGGAAGCGATCACTGAGTTTACCGGGTCGAGTGAACATTTCACCTTCATCATTAGGCCCATCAACAACTTCAATCTCAGCTGCCATGGCTTTTGTTTCTTCTTCAGTGTATGCAACACCAACAAGGTCTCTGTAAGAGATGAGTGACATTGAGTGACATGAAGCACAGACTTGTTGATACACCTGGTGGCCTCTTCGGATCCTGCTCAAAGAAATTATCAAACACCAAAATCTCAAAATTCAAAATCATTGATTGCAGTAAGATGTGGTAAATAACATATTTTTACTTACGAAGCATGATCATATGAACTGAGAATGCCTTGGTGAGGCCATGGGTAGTTGGGGGATTCTAAGCCATGTTCTGCTTCATCAGATGCATAAGCTATTGTTGTGAAGCTTAAAAATCCAGAAATTCCTGCACCTAGGAGGGTGAAAACTCTAATTGCACCAGATCTGGATCCATCTTCAGCCTGAATATCATCAAGTATTAGTGTGATTTAGTTTTATGCAGAAAATCAATACACTGATGATGAACAGAATAGTAATTTGGATGTCTTCAATATCGTGACTACTAAACATCTAAACCTAATTGTTCGTAATTGGTAACGACAAATCATCGTGCCTAAAAAGCAGATTGAAATCAGCATCTAAATCTTGTTGTAAAACGTAACCTAACAGTTCGTAATCTAGCAATCATGATACTAAAAGAGAGAGAGAGAGAAAAGATTAAACGTAATACCTTGAAATCAGTGAGCTTTGGTTGAGCGTTTACATTTGATAGGTTTGGAGTTTGTCTCTGACGAGTGATTCCGGATACAAATCGCCCAATTCGTCGGAAACCTGGTGCAGAAATAAATTGAATCATCAGAATTCAGAGTTTCAGCTCACTAGATACGTGAATTCCTTACCATTAATCTTCTTACACAAACCTGTATAAAATCAAAAACCAAAACAAAGAAATTTCAGTTGGATTGGATTAGGCATAAATTCGAAATTAATAGCAACGTGGAAATGTAGTTACTCATGGTTGTGGAACCGATGATGAAGTGAGAGGAGTTGATGAGTGACACAAAAAATGGCAGCGTGGTAGTGATCGGAAAGAAGGGAAGGAAGAGGCTGAGGTTGGCGCTGAGATGCACGGCTTAAAATTGGACGAGTCATTGACTCATTGTTGGTCCACTTGTTCGATAATCTTCTATTCGCTCAAAATCTTAGCCGCCGTAAATCAATACTATTAATTATTAATTAATTAATAATATTTATATACTGTACCTCAAAAAAGCCTTTTTTGTCTAAAGTAGGTGATATATTTATGTCTTTGATTAGTATTTGAAAATAAGATAATTTGTATTTATATTTTTCATCGTTATTTTCTTACTTCAATCAAAATGAGAGTAGGAAAATCAAACTACATTCTTTCTAAGTTGATAAACGAAAAACATAATTTAAAATAGGATAAATTACACCATTCGTCCTTTGTGCTGCAGGTTTTAAAAAATACGTTCAGTTTTTATTTTTTAAAATTAATTCGGACCGTTCCTCCTTTGGTTTAAACTTGCATGTTTCATCCTCATTATTTTAAATCTGCACAATTCATCCGTTGTTTAACATAAAATGACTATATTGCCCTTATTGTTTTATTTTGTATTTATAAGAAAAATAAAAATTAAATTTTAACCCTTTATTTTTACATTTATTAATAATTTCGAAACAATTAAATATATCCCCCCACCCCCATTTACCTAGAAACACCATAATTCTCCATTCCCCTCTTCATTGTCCTTCACCTCCCCTTAAAATCAAAATCCGTCCACTAGAACCTGCTTGACCACCACCTCACTTACCTTCCTCGATTCATGTTGGAAATGTGGACTCAACCACCGACAGACTCAACTGCCTTATTTCTTGAAATGGACAATGGTTATTTCCAAATGTACAACTATCTCGTCGGCAAAAGAAAAAGAGCGAAGGGGGTGAAGAGCAGGTTTGCAAGCCTCTTTGCAGCTCCAACATCGACTGAAGGATACCTCACGACCACTGTTAGCTGCCCTTGATCGATCCACCAAACTGTAACATCTTGTTCTTCCAGATATTTACCTTTTACCCCTTGGTATATGAATTGTTTGCAAAGTGGTCCATAATGGCACTTTTGTATTTATGAGGGTTGCATGAGTACGTTGGGCGTACATATTGGTATGTTGGGCGTACCTGGACTCACTCGAGTATGTTGGGCGTACGTGGCCTGGTCCAAACCCTAATATTTAGGGTTTATGCACTATTTAAATACCCTTATATCCCCATAACCCTTCCTCTTATTGGCCTACACCCCTCATATCGACCCCCTTGCAAACCCTAACCCATTTTAGAGCATATTTGAGCTTTTAAGTGAGTTGTGGCATTCTTGTTTGTGAAGGAAGATCATCAAAGAAGTGGTTTTGCTCTAAATCCCTTGGACCCAACATTTTCTCTTCACTGTGCACCATTTGGAGTGTGAGCAGCTGTGTTAGAAGCATCCCGAGTGTGCAGTTCAGTTATCTTCATTTAGAGGTGAGTCTTCTTACCACACTAGTGGGTCGTAGGCACCAACGTCGGCCCGCTGATTTATATGTGTTAGATGTATGTGATTATGTGAATATGTGATCTGGGCTCGGAGTCATTATAGACTCGGGGGTTGATACGGACCCGACAAAGCTACATGTTGTCATATGGGTTGATACGGACCCGACACAACTACATGCTATCATATGGGGTTGATACAGACCAGACACAGCCACAAGTTGTTATATGTATATGTTTATTGTATGTTGTATTTTGGGGAAGTTTACTTGTAACGCCTGGTTCCTAGTATGCATTTAACTCATTGATTTATTTATTTTGAAAGGGTAACTCAACGAGTTGGTGGCACTAACTCATCGAGTAGAGGACATATTATATGAGGGGTTTAAGCTACCTACTCGACGAGTCAAGAGCCCTCGACTCGGCGAGTAGATCGACCAGAGTGAAACCCTAATTTCAGGGTTTTGCACCCTATTTAAGCTCCTTAACCCCACCCATTAGCCTCAATTCCAGCCTCCTTGTCCCAAACCCTAATCCACGAAACCCTAGAGCTTTATTTGAGATTGTGAGCCATTTTGAGTGATATTTGTGTACTTTTGAAGCTTGTGGAAGAAGAAGAAGGTAGAGGGCTCAAGAGGGAAAGAGTAGATCCAGAAACTACACACCATTTGCTACATTTTCTGGTAATCAAGTTTCTATCTTGGCTATTAGTTCATTAGATCTCTTTATGTCCATCTTTATGAGGGTTTTTGGTCCAAGAATAATAACTTTTGGAGAATGATCGACCCAAGTGGGTATTCTTCCAGATCTAGGACCTAGAGGGGATGATATGACATAAAGGTGCAAAATTTATGCCATTAGAGCCCCCATGCAAGCCATATAGTGTCATATTGGCCTTTTTAGCCCCGAAAGGCCATGCATGTGGAAAAAGGTGGGAACTTTACATGTCCAAGTAGTGTTAGGGGTTTAGATATGAGATTGTAAGCTTTAGTTGGGTGTAAGGATGACATAAGGACCAAGTTCTAGGTCCCAAGGAATTAGGGTTTGAGCTAAACCCTTTAAGAAGAGGTATTAATGGGTAAAGTTAGAAACTTTACCCTTAAAAAAGCATTGTAAGGGTTTTTGTGAAGTGTGAAGCTTGGATCTGAAGTGTAGGGGCTTAATCCATTAAGATAGCCCAAACAGACAAGGGAACTCAACGAGTCCAGAAAGGGACCCGACGAGTTGAGTCGGGTTATCCCAATTCTATGCCAGGTAGAACTCGACGAGTCTGTGAAGGGACTCGACGAGTTGACTCGATTGATCACGAGTCTGAGTAGTATAGGAACTCGTCGAGTTAGGAGGTCACTCGACGAGTTGAGTCGGCTGGGAGTTGACCTTGACTTTGACTTGACCAGGACGTTGACTTTGACCAGGGGTAAAATGGTCATTTTACCCTAAGAAGGATTATCAGATTTTGATTAAGTGTTATTGTGAAATTGATAGTCGGGGAGTCGTTGGAGCATCCGTTCGAGATTCCTCACACGATATTTCACAGCCAGCATATGAGGTGAGTTTCCTCCAGTAGGAACGGGTCTAAGGCACCAAGGTCGGCCCGTTTAGTTAGTAGTAGTTCCGGACTATGGTCCGATGTCGAGCGGGGCTCGATGTAGGTTTATATGCTTTTCGGATTTCGATCTGATGTCGGGGTGGTCCCGATGAATGCTTGTATGCTTGATGTCTTTGTGATTCTTGCATGTGTTTGTACTGGTATGTTTCCGGACTTCGATCTGATGTCGGGGCGGTCCCGAGGAATGTTAGTATGCTTCCGGACTACGGTACGATGTCGGGCGGGGCCCGAGGAATGTTCAAATGTTAATGATATATGCTTAGGTTTATGTGTATTATTTGACTGTGTTACATGTATTCCGAGATGTGCTCGATGCCGGGCGGGGCCCGATGCCAAATAGGGTTTGATGCCGGGAAAGCCGATGTCGAGCTTGACTCGATATAGCACGGGCGGGGCCCAAGATATGTTTATGTGATATGTGTATGGTATGTGGTAGTAACTGGAACGAGGAAGTAAAAAAAAACTTAGGCTTGAAGAAAATCGGATGAACAGTAACGAGTAAATCTTTGGGCTAAATCGGAAGAAATTGATCCATGAGGCAATAAATTAATTTTGGACCAAACAATTGATTAGATCCAAATCAAATTAATGGATAATTGTCAAAATTAAGATAATTATTTGTTTTATTAGATAAAGATTGATTATTTGTAATTTTGATTTGAATTATCTTATGAAAAAATAAATTAGGTCAAATTTAGATCATTCAAATTATTTGATTAATTTAATTATTTGCAATTTGATCTTGTGTGTTTTGAATAGTTTCAAAAACTTGCCCTCCAGTTTTAGAATTTAAAATTTTGATTAAAAGTTTAATTATGTAATATTTAAATTCTAAACCCAAATGTTTTGATAAAGTTCAAATTACACCCTTATGGTTTTATTAATTAATTAAGGTGTATAATTATAAGAGGTTTAATAAACCCATGAAGTTTTGGTTTACATCTAATTAAATTAAAAGTATAATTTATTAAATTAGACCACCTAGTATTTTAAAAGTGTAAAATACACCCTATACTACATATAACATTAAAGTCTAATATTATATATATATATATATATATATATATATATATATATATATATATATATATAGATATATATATCTATATATATATATATATATATATATCTATGAGTAAACAGTCAGTCTTACCGTTAGTAGACCTCATTCACGAAGCTGGTCTATAAGGGGTGTTTAAGGAAATTGCCTATAAAATGACGATTGAATGGGTATCCACTCTTACCCACCGCACTCTTGACTAGTGGAGGGTCGTTAGCCGAATGGGTAGGATATGACGAAACCTTCCATTATAAGTATAATGAAGTACAAAGTAACTAAATGCTTTTATAAATTCCCAAATCATAGTTACTTTAGGCAAAATGTGAAATTGTATGCTAATCCATGGAATTACACTCCACACCCTTGCCAAACGTTAGTGGAGCGTGCGTGGTTAACCGGCACACTAATTTGGGGTTGACATTGGTAGTGAAGGGTGGCTCGATGTTTATCATAGATCAATGGAGCGTGTGTGGTTAACCGGCACATTGATTAGGTGGTAGTAGCATTGAGTGCACCACGTAGATTCGCATGGTTATTCACACCTTATTTGTGATCCTCGGCATCCCAGTCACAAATAGAAAGGCATAATCGAGATTAAACATGCCATTGAAAAGTTCAATGAATCTCAAAAGATCTAGGAGTTTCAATTCATTTAAAACTTAAACTTCATTTTTGTTTTTCATGGTGGGAATTGGTAAATCGTCATTTACCTACCTTCAAATATTCTGCAACTAGATTACGGCATCCCTCTTCTAGGTTGTAGAGTATTGTGTTGGATCCTAGCCTTGATGTTTCATTTGGGTGTTACATCAAGGATTCTTATCAACTAACTTGAATTTTCTCCCGTTTTGTAGATGTCTAAATCTTACAATGGTCTTCCCAAGTCCCTTGGAACAAGCTTTCCAAATGAAGATGATGTTCCACGATACGATCAAGGAAATAAGAGTCATGATTCACTTCCTCCACCTCC